GTGGAAGGGTGGCGGGGGGGGGGGTGAGGGATGATGGGTGAGGGGCCAGGGGGACGGGGATGAAGGGTAAGAGAGAGGAAAGGGGAGGGGGTGAGAGGGAGGTAGGGGAGGGGGTGAGGGGAACGTAGCGAGGGGAGGTGGGAAGAGGTGAATGAGGGAAGGAGGGAGGGGGAGGGGGAGAGCGGGGTCAGGGGAGGTTGGAGAGGTGGGGGGGGAGGAAAGATAATGGGAGGATGCGGCGTAGACGGGAGGCTCGTGATGATGGCGCGGGGGGTCAGAAGGTGGCGGGGGGGGGGGGGGGGGAGAAGAGGGGAGGGACGGAGAGGAGAAGAGAGAGAGAAAGAAGGAGAGGAGGAAGGGCGAGGAGCAGAGTGGGGGAAGGGGGAGGGGTGGGAGAAAGTGACGGAGAGGAGGAAGGGGGGAGAAGAATGGGGGAAGGTGAAGGGGAGGGAGAGGAGAGAGAGAAAGAAGGAGAGGAGGGTGGGGGGCGAAGATGGGGAAGGGGGGAAACGTGAGGGAGGTGGAGGAGAGGAGGAAGAGAGGAGTGAAAGGAGGAGGGGGGAGGCGGATCCTTCCCCTTCTGTTGCTTTCAATCTTTCTCTTTCACTTCGCTTCCTTCTCGCTCTCTCGGCTTTCTCCCTCCTTCTCCTTCTTGCTCATTCTCCTCCATCACCTACTCCTCTTTCTACTCCTCCTCCTCCTCTTACTTCTCCTCCTCCTCCTCCTCTCCCTCTTCTTCTTCTTCTTCCTTCTCCTTCTCCGCTACTTTCTCTTCCTCCTCCTCCTCCTCCTCCTCCTCCTCTTCTTCTTCTTCTTCCTTCTCCTTCTCCGCTACTTTCTCTTCCTCCTCCTACTACTCTTTCTCCTTCTCCTCCTCCTCCTCCTCCTCCTCCTCTTCTTCTTCTCCTTATCTTCGTCCCTTCATTATCCTTTTCTCTCTACCCCTCACTTATCTTCCCCCTCCATCTCCTCCCCTTTCCCCCCTCACCCCTTCCATCATTCCCCTCCCCCCCACCCCACCCCCAACCCCTGTGAACCGCTACCGGGGAAGAACAGTCTCGATCGGTTCACTGAGAGAAAAAAAAGAGAGAGAGAGAGAAGAGAAAAAAGTGGCGTGGTTCTATCTACTCCCAGGCCGAACCTCTGCAATTAGGAGTAGCCAACACCGACTCTTGGCGGAAGTTGCACAGGCCCTGTGGTCAACCCTGGGGCACTATGGGGGGGGTGAGGTAATATGGGGTGAGGGAGGGAGAGTGGAAGGGTAGCGGGGGGGGGGGGGGTAAGGGGCCAGGGGGACGGGGATGAAGGGTGAGAGAGAGGAAAGGGGAGGGGGTGAGACGGAGGTAGGGGAGGGGGTGAGACGGAGGTAGGGGAGGGGGTGAGGGGAACGTAGCGAGGGAGGTGGGAAGAGGTGAATGAGGGAAGGAGGGAGGGGGAGGGGGAGAGCGGGGTCAGGGGAGGTTGGAGAGGTGGGGGGGGGGGAGCGGGGGAGGAAAGGGGAGGAAAGATAATGGGAGGATGCGGCGTAGACGGGAGGCTCGTGATGATGGCGCGGGGGGTCAGAAGGTGGCGGGGGGAGGGGGGGGAGAAGAGGGGAGGGACGGAGGAGAAGAGAGAGAGAAAGAAGGAGAGGAGGAAGGGCGAGGAGCAGAGTGGGGGAAGGGGGAGGGGTGGGAGAAAGTGACGGAGAGGAGGAAGGGGGGAGAAGAATGGGGGAAGGGGAAGGGGAGGGAGAGGAGAGAGAGAAAGAAGGAGAGGAGGGTGGGGGGAGAAGATGGGGAAGGGGGGAAACGTGAGGGAGGTGGAGGAGAAGAGGGAGAGGAGGAAGAGAGGAGTGAAAGGAGGAGGGGGAGGAGGAAGAGAGGAGTGAAAGGAGGAGGGGGAGGAGGAAGGGAGGAGTGAAAGGAGGAGGGGGAGGAGAAGATTGATAGAAAGAAGTAAGGGGAAAGGGTGGTGGGAAGAGAGGAGAATGGAGAAATATACGGGAAGGAACGGGAAGCATTGAATGGGGTGCGTAAGGGAACTGCGGAGGAGGAGGAGGAGGAAGGGAGTAAATGGCGTAAACGGGGAATGAGGAGGGAAGAGAAGAGATTATGAAAACAAGTAGGAAGGGAGAAAACAAGACAAGGAGGGAGGAAGAGAAGGGAGAGGAGAAGAGAGTCGAGAGTGGAAGAGGCAGGGGAAGAGAGAATAAAGACAAGGAGAAGGAGGTGGAGGTGGAGGAGGAGGAGGAGGAGGAGGAGGAGGAGGAGGAGGAGGAGGAGGAGGAGGAGGAGGAGGAGGAGGAGGAGGAGGAGGAGTCAAGAAGGAGGTTAATTCTGCGAAGACGTCCGAGTCAAGACTGTCAGATTAGCCAGAAGCGAAATGAGGACAGGATGTGGTGAATGCGATCGATATTCCAGATGATGATTGAAAAGAAAAGTTTTTTTTTTTTTTTTTTTTTTTGAACGGAGTGAATCTTCCAGGTATTACTTTTAGAAAATGAGTGAGAGAAAAAGAG